TATGTAGAAGAAAAGGAAAAGTGACAAGGGTAACATAGAATTCAAAACTTGGAATATTTATTCAGAATAAATATTAAGTAGATATGTTGCGTTTCCGACCCATTTCTTCTATGTATAATAGACATACTTTGTATTTCCATTTGGATAATGTGAAATATATCGCGTTTCACAAACAGCTGCTATCGCCAATGTATTAAAGTGCAACCATGGCTGCAAAAGCTTAATCATTTGACGTTTGTCTGGTTTTGTATTCCTGCAATTTTCATTCTTCATGATCAGACAGATGCATTACATGCTACTATATATGCATAACTTGTATTTGTTTTAAGTATGGTTAAGACTGTATTTGTTCACAGTACTGCTGTGTGGCATCAGCTAACAAACGCCTCCTTATACAAATTGAGTGAGTGGTGGGTGCTACCGGTAGGGCGGGACATGTTCACCCCTTTCGCGAACACCTTGTGCCATCACTGATTTTCAGTGATTCATTCAAATAATGTTCATAGCTTTTTTGCCTTTTGCACCCGGTGGAATCTGTATCAGCAGATAATCGTGACGGGTTGTTCTCCCGCGTTGATGTTATATATTCTAAGAATAAAAACGTATAGTTAACGGTTGGCCTCCGCGGTAAAATTACAAGTATTCATTCTTTCACGAGGTGACAGAGATCATATTCGATGACTAATACACGCTTCAACGACGTATGTATCATAGTAACAAGGACTAAATACACCCATATACCTTCTTGAAAACGAGCTCGGTTGTACAGGACTGAGATAAACGAGACTTTTTAGTCTCTGGCGCTGACGTTTTATATTTGAACGTGAAATTGCGAAGTTGCATGCTAGATATTGTGATCGATCTGGAAGAATATATCGAAATCAGTGAGGGGCAGGTTATAAATTCAAGTATAAGGACATCCCTCTTTTAATTAAGAAATAAACGACTCGTGGTCGTTGATCATCGTACCCTGGTGTACATTATGACGCCCCAAATACTACTGTTGTGCGTCGCCTATGACTACAATGAACGTGGATGTTTTTATTACACCTGAAGAGCCGGTGAAGTAAGAAGGGTCTACCCGCAACCGCTAATGTAGAATTTATTTACATTAAGAGTAGTTTTTACATTGAGGGTTGTAACATTGCATCTGCCAGCCATATGCATCCACATTGTCAAATGCTATTTTGTACGAAAGCTTAATGGTGCTACTTTTGTAAAGTAATTGAAATAATGAGAAAATAATTGAAATGACGAAATAATATTGGAAGAAAGGAGAAAATAATTAAAATAACGAGAATTTCGATTTGAAAAAAATAAAATTACCAATGTGGCATCTTTAGGCTTTCGTAACTTTGTGGAAACTCTGATGCAGTGAAAAGACAAAATGAATACATTTTTCTAGTCCTTAGCACTTATTTGAAGGAAGTACCAACACAGTTAAATTGTCAGTGGAATGATTTATGTATAATGTAACCAATATCAACAGTATAATGCGTGTTGCATGCTATATTAGTTGATCTTGCGCTCTGTCCAAATGTATGTAATACTGTCCTGTGTATGTATAATGGGCCGGTGAAATCACCTGGTGAAGAAGTAGCCCTGAACCTGCGTAATATAGATGTGATTAATGTGCTATGTGTATTGCTCTCGGGGTTTCCCTACATTCAATGACATCGAATTCAAGATAAGTAGCAATATATTCACCGCCAAAAGAAACCCGAACTATAGAAACATATAGGGAAGTATGTACGTTCAGAAGATATGTTTCCAATGTGTAATTCCTAATTCCTAATGACAAAACTAACAATCGGTCAAGTGTTACCACAGAGTCTCTTTATTCCTATCACGATATACTGAACGAGATTTCCAAACTTTACAGCTAATCCTGTAGGAGACAAATGGTGCATTGAGTCATGGATCTATGACGTCACATGTGATGCGTTCATGAGCGTTGGTTCACACGACATACCAGTTTTTTCGTTTGTGTGTCGAACCAGTCTAATATCTCTTGAATATGAGCACTTCTTTATATATTAACCAACATGTATGGCATTTGCGTTTCTTTCGGTGTTGAGTATAGTGATAGTAATAACACCCCTTTTATTTAAAAACAAACCTATCTAGGCATGATGTGTATTAGATGATGATTGGACCACGAATTGCTAAATATAAAATGTCTGCAAGTGCTGCTTATAAGAAAAGGAAAGGTTTGTTCTTTGAAAGGCACAGTTGAGGCCAGTTTTAATGTCTCATCCCAAACATGTCTTTTGTTGTTGGTTCAGCATAATTGATAAATGCTGCTGTGCTTATGATGAAACTCGGAGACTTCAGTCCACCAGGAGAAACAGATTCCATGCGTGCATTACTTTAGAAAATAATATTAGCTTGTCTGGTTCGTGAAAATGTAGGAGAGACACTGTCCTTGCCATTTCCACCCCTTCTATACATTCATGCTACTAAAGTCTTCACGTTGAAAATGACGTATTTATCATTGCTATATATATCCGCCAATCTTGAGCATGATTTCACAGTTACTTACTGGAACAGAAAGTAAGCAGCCTGTGATTGCTTCAGTGTTGTTTATAGGTAGACATATAGCAGGACTCAACACGACCACGACTCACAGTCGCTTAGCGCTTTGCTCCCGGTAAGTCAGCTTGTATTTTCCCTGTTGAAAACATATCCCAACGTTAACGGTTATACTTTGACGTAAAATCTGTACTCACAGCTTGTTGATATAATTCAGATCACTGTTAAATTGTTAAATTGAATATATTTAGTACTATACTAGACATTATATCTTAAAAAATTGCAGAACCCGTTATTATTTCATAGAAAAAAACAGACTAAAATTAATTTTCTTAATACAAATGACTTTATATCAATGTATTTAAACTATTATTGATTTTCATATATTTCTGTTGACCTGATCTGACAAACAATTTACAGGTGAAATTGTAATATGTGATTATTATTATTGTGTACCTTTTCAATTATTGAATTATTGTCGATTTAATTATCATCTCAAATATACCCCGCTTTAAACCATATGCAAGTATAACCTGGCGTACTGTATTTTAAACTGAACTTTGTCTAATACAATGAAATAATAATAATAATAATAATAATAATAATAATAATAATAATGATAATAATAATAACAATGATAATAATAGGCTGCAGCGTTGGGAGGTCTTCACATTCTCCGAAAAGTTCTGGGTGGGTTCGTCTAAGCATCGCTTCCTGGGAGGAGTCCCATTCGCTGTCTGGGCTGCGTGTAGAGCGGGCAAGGGCCCTGAACTGATGATGAGCCTTACCAGCCTGACTGTGCCAGGACCACCCAAACCCTCTTTGCTGCATGTATATATTTTAATCTGTATAGAATAATTAAGCAGTGATAAAGCAGCTAGTAAAGTGAGTTGAAATGGGGTTTAACGTCGCGTCCAAGATTATTGCACATGCATGCCTGCATGTGTACGTGTGTGCGTATGTGCGTACGTGCGTGTGTGCGTGCGTGCGTGCGTACGTGTGGGTGGCTGCTTTTACTAGTTCGGACTAATGCAGATTTTATAGTGCTAGCCCACTGAGATCCCAATCTGCAGTTTAACATGAATACCCCACTCTCCCGCTGTCGTTGTAGTTCTCATACACTCCATATTAAAGTGGGTGGACATCACGATGTCCCAAGAGACTAAAGATTATGTAACCTCTGTAACATTTCTCTTATCGAGAACGAATACCAGTTACTGTTAATTTGCAAACCGTGAAACAATCTTAGACATAAATATATTCCAGGAAAATATTTTTCCATCCTACATTACATAAATTGAACATATTGCAGCCATCATGAATGCTGAAACCATGAAAATACTTTCATAATATATATTCCATGTCATGAATATTAGAAGCTCTTTAATGTCCATTGTGGACCTGAATATCTAAATGTACAATGGGCCGGTGACCGTAAGTGCAAAATGAATAAAGAATTGAATTGGAATACCCAACTCAGACTCAGTATACTGACTCCCAGCCAATCAGACCTTGTTCTAGCCCATTAACGCCGAGCGCCAGGCAGGGAAACTACAAGCACCATCTTATAACGTTTTTTGGTATGACGCTGATCATGACAGCAATGTGTGAGTCTGTATGAATTGTTGCAGTATGTCACATACAGTTAAAGTTGGGCAAAGTCGAGTGATAATAAAGCAGAATATTGTATCTTGCAAACGAATTCTAAAAATAAAGCTTAATTATCTACCATGAACACCCTCTGAACATAATGAACTAGTCCGTAACCATGACACTGTAACCAATCACCTCGATAGACAACCGTATGGACTTTACTTATGTCGGGAAGGGAGAAGACTCAAGCAATATGATGTTATTTCTATCACCCTAAATTAATTACTGAACAAGCTGGTACAGCTTGTAAAATAAGTTTAAATATTGACAAACAATGTTTATATGATGTTTCTTTGTATCATATGAGTATATAAAATAAAACACAAATGTAATACTGATCTCAACTTCAGGTTAATGTTTGACAAACAATATTTTATGATAAACCATTACATAATCAGAGTATATGAAATAAAACATAAATGTAATCAAATACTAATCTCAACTTCTGGTTAATGTTTGACAAACAATGTTTTATAAAAAGCCATTACATAATCTGAGTATATGAATTAGAACACAAATGTAATCAAATACTAATCTCAACTTCTGGTTAATTCTGTGTTAATTCCACTTGGACGTTCCTGCTGTTCTTAAGCATATACAACATATATTTTCTTAAAAAGCTAAACAAAAGCATGCAAACTGACATCATGTCACGATAACCAACAGTGGGTGAGTGTCTTCTATACAGATTTGTAGCGTTAAAATCTTCATAGAGCCACACTAAGGTGATCTGTGTATTTATCGTTCATGTATATTCTCCAGTGAATACTTGCATATACTCAGGTTGTTATTTTATTTCTTTATTATGCAGTTTTGAAAGCAGCATGGCAGGGGTGGAATCTAAGCTCACCTACGACTCCTACTTGAAGGTGAATGCTGTAGTTATTATCAAGGTGTTCATATTTTTATGTTAGGACATTAACATAATTATAATTTCATCAAGGTCTCAATGTTTGCAATCTTACACTGGAAGAAAGAACTCTCTTTCCAAGCAGGCAAAGAACATTGACAGAACGCCAATGCCCAACTTGCCATGTCCATGTGTGTAGTGGCCGCTCATTTGCATATATCCACGAGCCAAATAACCTCGGTTTCAAAGTATTTGCAGAACTACTTCAGATTGCGTGGTCTGGGGTAGTCTCTACGTTGCCTGTAATATGTTAGGTTTCGGGAGATGCCATTCCATGTTTTGGATAGGCTGTGAAATATTGGAATGAAAAACGTTATTGTCCGGTGGTACATGTCAACATTAATTTCGGATGGGTAAGTAGAAATTATATTTCTAATTCCCAAATTCCTAAAGTCCCTTGTGTTTTTTTCAAGTGAGTGAGTATGATTTAGCAATATTCCGGTAGTATCAATACAGGGGAACCCAGAAATGGGCCTTTACTTGATAAACTGAAGGGCACTTCTTGATCATTATAACATATTCATTGTTTCCTTATTACTGTACGTAGATTCCACAACTACTGGTCTGCCAGGAGCCAATCACAGACGTCCACGATGAACACGTGTTCATTATTGTCCATCAAGGTATTTTAGTTCACGTTTGAACATGTCTTTCTCCTAAGTTACTTAATGTAGATCACTCTTTAACTTCCAAGTTGTGATAAAACTAATCATTGCACATACAGAATACGCATGGCATAATAATATTTTCGAATAGTTGTTGATCTGATCTGCCGGGTAAAACAAAGTATTCACTTGAAACTTGGATTTGACAAATAAATTACATTTTTTAGTCGCCGAATAACTGCGAACTTCGGGTCCAAAACACAACTTTGATAACCATATCAAATACATCGCCAAGGAAAAAACATTTCTTGTCGGCATTATTTCTATACATATTTCTATGATTACTTTTTCCCGGCAGTTCATCGATATCTCGGCTTGCTCTATCAGTCGTATATGACAATACATAGCTTGAGTAACAAAATGCTGTGTCAATTTCAGCCTTCGAACTATGGTTCAAGGTGATCATCCATGACATCACGTCGGTCAGGGATATATTTCACAACCCTAAGGTACGCTGTATCTTAAAGGATCACTTAATGTTTTATCTGGATTCTCTGAGCATCTTCTGTGACATCAGCATGTGAACGTGGTATGTGTTTTCTGGTGGGGCTTCCGGGTTTGATTTGGTCCCCAGCAACCCATGTTAGTCGAAAGGGGCGATTTATTAGATCGGGTGGTCTTGGTGGTTGACTTGGTTGATAGCGTGTCATCATATCCCGGCGTCGTTGATTGTTGCTCACATTATCATTGACTGGATCATCTGGTCCAGACATGATGATTTTACGCCGCCGTCATATAGGTGGAACATTGCTGCGTGCGGCGTTAAACAATAACGACACACACATATCATGGTTATATATCATTTGAAACATGGACCGGGGTCCTACATTCTTCATGAATAAAGATTTCTACGTCATGTGATTATACTTTAATAATTGAGTTGTTGAATGATCGAACGTTATTTCTTGTGTTTAGGACTGGAAAAGCCTCCCTCTACACACTGCCATCAACCGCCTGCAGAGAGTTGCGATGGTTCTGAGGGTGAGGCAACAGTTGACATACTCTGGATGTTGTTAATTTAGCCTCTCATGCTGTTAACTCAGGGTTCCTAATCAGAACAGGTCTTAGTACCCCTTGCTCGTTTACCGAGTTGATCCCCGTGAAAAGTCGGGTTAGAAATGGTCTTCAACAACCCGTATTTTCCGTTAGACGTCGACCAACGGGATAGGGTGGTCAGGCTCGCTGACTTGGTTGATGCATATCATCGTATCCCAGACTTTTTGCAGACCGCCATCATATAGCTGGAATATTCTGACAGTGGCGTTTAACAACAAACAAACAAACACACTTAAGAGCCGACAAATGAGGACCGACAGTGTGTGACTGGACTGACAGCGTGTCAACGTCATGGATCGTTGCTCATGCTTTCAACTACTGATGCCCTGGTCTAGATTATTCATACGCCGCAGTATTCAGGTTGGGTTATTGCTGACTGTAGTGTAAAACGTCACACATTAAACACACTTTTAATATTTGTAACGTTTGGAGTAGCGGAAGGGAAACGTACATGTACAGAAAACTGTCTTGAGAGGAGATTACACACATACATTATTGCCTTGTCGAGGATAGGAGTGCACTGATAACGTATCTGTTCTTCAGTATGTCTATTGTATTTATTGCAGCTGGTTGTGGAACACTTCCACATCCTGGAGACGATGCCGCCCCTCAATTTTGTAGACTTCAGGTGAGTATATAATGTGCCATATCATATTCACCCCAAATGGAGCCTCGCTGACCCAGGCTTAAACGTTATGCAGATAGTGAAAGAATGTATTTATTATATACATTAGTGTGAAAGACTGAGTCTCTGAAGTAGAGAAAAGGGATATTTTCATTACAGTGAACATAATTGAGATTTCACTGCACTGAACATAACACTTTGACGTAACTATTTGCATACAAGAGTTACCTCCCCTTAAATTGTCTCCCCTTATCGCAAGTGTCTAGTCCGTACACAAACTGTTGATGTCCTTTTTACGTCAACTCCACATTGACTAGGCAAAATACTGACAGACGGTCTTTTAGTTGATATCACTTCTTGCCGTTTGTTATTCTCTCGAAAATATTTCTCATTTAACACGTCAACGAGACTGTTCATTTCGCAAAGTGCTATTTTCGTTACTTGGCCAGCGTGTATTTTTTCGCTTCCAACAGAACGTTTTTGTCAAAGTTGATTTTGTATATAATCATATCTATATGTATGATACAGAATTTTCGTGACCCTAAATAGTTTTTGTTACTTTTGTTTATATTTGGTATGATTTTGCAAACTTTTTTCATCGCAAATACAAGGAGTGGTGAACCGTAGGGAGAATAGATAATAAATATTATATTCCATGTGTCTCTTGAAATATCTCTTGGGGGCCACTCGTGAAAATATCTCTTTTCTTTCCGTCACTCTATGAGAGAATCATGATATTTCATTCAACACATTAAATATACTCTATATATTTGGATATTACGAAATATACACCTGGATGTCTGTGATGTTGTTTTACTATGGTCGATGAGTTACGTTGTGGAGATATTTCTAGGGGCGATATGTTGTATTACTAGGATTATATTCCAGGGACGTCCTGTTACGTTGCTATGATCATGTTCCAGGGAGCAGCTGTACTATTGCTGTGATCATGTTCCAGGGAGGAGCTGTTCTATTGCTGTGATTATATTCCGGGGACAAGCTGTTATGTTATCGGATGAGATTCGAAGGATGATATGTTATATTGCTATGATCATGTTCCAGGGAGGAGCTGTTCTATTGCTGTGATCATGTTCCAGGGAGCAGCTGCACTATTGCTGTGATCATGTTCCAGGGAGGAGCTGTTCTATTGCTGTGATTATATTCCGGGGACAAGCTGTTATGTTCTCTGATGAGATTCGAAGGATGATATGTTATATTGCTATGATCATGTTCCAGGGAGGAGCTGTTCTATTGCTGTGATCATGTTCCAGGGAGCAGCTGTACTATTGCTGTGATCATGTTCCAGGGAGGAGCTGTTCTATTGCTGTGATTATATTCTGGGGACGAGCTGTTATATTCTCTGATGATATTCGAAGGACGAGCTACTATATTTTGGTGATTATGTTCCAGGGACGAGCTGTTATATTGCTGTGGTTATGTTCCAGGGACGAGCTGTTATATTGCGGTGGTTATGTTCCAGGGACGAGCTGTTATATTGCGGTGATTATGTTCCAGGGACGAGCTGTTATATTGCGGTGATTATGTTCCAGAGACGAGCTGTTATATTGCTGTGGTTATGTTCCAGGGACAAGCTGTCATATTGCGGTGATTATGTTCCAGGGACGAACTGTTATATTGCGGTGATTATGTTCCAGGGACGAGCTGTTATATTGCTGTGGTTATGTGCAGGGACGAGCTGTTATATTGCTGTTGTTATGTGCAGGGACGAGCTGTTATATTGCTGTGGTTATGTGCAGGGACAAGCTGTTATATTGCTGTGGTTATGTGCAGGGACAAACTGTTATATTGCTGTGGTTATGTGCAGGGAGGAGCTGTTATATTGCTGTGGTTATGTGCAGGGTCGAGCTGTTATATTGCTGTGGTTATGTGCAGGGACAAGCTGTTATATTGCTGTGGTTATGTGCAGGGACGAGCTGTTATATTGCTGTGGTTATGTGCAGGGACAAGCTGTTATATTGCTGTGGTTATGTGCAGGGACAAACTGTTATATTGCTGTGGCTATGTGCAGGGAGGAGCTGTTATATTGCTGTGGTTATGTGCAGGGACGAGCTGTTATCTTGCTGTGGTTATGTGCAGGGACAAGCTGTTATATTGCTGTGGCTATGTGCAGGGAGGAGCTGTTATATTGCTGTGGCTATGTGCAGGGAGGAGCTGTTATATTGCTGTGGTTATGTTCCAGGGACAATCTGACAGGGGGGTCTGGGTTTCAGAGTCTCCAGTTCCGACAGATCGAGAAGCTTCTTGGAATGAATGACGTAAGATGTAACGCTGATATATACAAACCACGTTATCAACTGAACAGGAAAGGAAGTGTGGCTAAGATGCCTCTGAGCTTGTAGATACGTATATCTTAGTGCGTGAAGTATAAAGAATGGTAAACTACAGTTGCTAGTTCATTAGGCTGATACACTATTGTTGGTAAGAAATACTTGAATTTCATTTTATAGCCCCTGTCATTTATTGCTTTGGATGTTTTCATATGTTTATGTTATAGGGCAATCGACAAAAATATGAAGGACAGGATTATAAAGATAAAATGGATCCAAAGGACAAGGAGATTCTAATTGATTACCCAGATGGGGGTACATTCCTAGATGTTGTGGAAGTACGAATCTTAAGTACCATTCTATGAACCTATTTTGTGAACTCTTGAGTATCATTCATTGAGTCTGAGAGAAGACGCTGGATCATATGCCAACTGACTGTATCAAATCTCCCGTGTAGGGCCCGAGAACTGACATAAATATAAGCAGCATCATGCCCATGTACACCCTATGAAGATCCGAATTTGAATTGGTCTGCATCAATTCATGTTTTGCCTCAGAGGCGGTTAGGATCGGGTGGTCAGGCTCGCTTACTCGGTTGATGCATTTCATCGTATCTCTGTTGGGTTGATCGACGCTTATCATGTAAATCACTGGATTTTCCGGTCCAGACTCTATTATTTTCAGATCACCGTCGTGTAGCTGGAAAATTGCTGAGTGCGGCGTTAACAAACAAACAAACATGCCTGTATACAAGCTGACGCTGTACAAAGAGGAATGTTATATTACAAAATGACTTGTTGCTATGTTATTTATTTGTTTTGTGTTGGTACAGACGTGGCTTGAATCTACTCCGGGAATAGATGACGGAATCTTCTGGGGAGAGTATCGTGACAAGGTAAACTTTGATTCAATATAATTAAAATTAAATAAGTGGAGTAAGATTGTACACAGTTTTAATTGGCTAGCGCGTTCAACTAATACCACGTATGATCCCATCAGGCCATAACTGAATAACGTTATTCCACTGCTTTAAACATTAATTTATGCACATGCTAGTAACGAACGAATAAGGCTTTTTTTAGTTTGTAAAGAAGGAAGACCTGGACCCTTTGCTTGATCAGTCAACGTATAAAAAAGGTAAGCTTGCTTTGTATTCCTTATTAAGAAGTTTAAGTTCATGTTTAGACCATACCGATGTAAGCGTTTTCAAGGTCTTTCATAAGTATTTCGTCCATCAACGACAAATCAATGGAACTTATTCTGTCTTCAGTGGTTCAAGACCATTTGATAAAATTGAAAGCAAATGTCATCTGAAGTTAAGGAGAAAACAATATTCGAAATGGTGGACTTCCTAATAGAAAACTTGTGTTTGAAATTGGGGATACGACACTTAAGCAAGATGTAATATTCATCAGGGGAACAAACTGCGATGATCTGATGTCGTTCATTAATGGTCAGGTAGCCAATTCTCTGACTAACCCATCTGAGCTAGAAATAAGAAACCAGTTAGCCGTTTCATATTGACAAAATTCAGAATGACAAAAAACTCTCCACACGACTGTATGACAATGGGGGTGACATCAACTTTCCCTTTCACTTTTGTTTGAGGTATAACCGAGCATGTTCTTTCTACGAACAATTCAAAGAGCCTAACACTTCGTTTGCTTTAACGATGTTGAATCAGGCTTACAACATCGGTGGTCTCCGTAAAAAGGTTTTATAGCTGACACGTAGGGGAGCATTTCCAAATTGGACGCAGCAGTTTGACGTGAACAATTGACTTGCCATAAAAAAAATGCACGTGTTAGTGACGGGTACCGCCGTTGAGTCAAAATACGCTCGCATCTTCCCGCACATCTGGCATGAACAGTAGTTGATAGTGGTCCATAAAGACAAAATCTGCTTTCAGCAGAGATTTCTTATTGTGGAAAGGATATCGATGTTGTCGCTTTCATTTACTTTCACGCCATAACAGGTTCCTGGCAAATGAGTCAACGGTCGCTGAAAGGAGCTCTTCTCATCATGCTGCACCAGGACAAACCTGAGTTCCAGATGCCCTACCAGTTCCTCACACTGCTGATGGACATCGATGTCGCCCTCATGAAGTGGAGGAGTATGTATCAACACATATATACACCTGAAAACTTTTTATTCACCCGCCGTTTTTTCGACCATTGTATGTCGAACATATCGATAGAAAAGTTAAATGTTTGCTTGTTTGTATTGTTGTGCGCATACACGTCGCTACTTAAGTGCAATTATCTAAAAGCCTATCTCACCTTGGCAGGTCTTCCCACGGCCTGCATATGGCTTATATAACACTGAGTACCTACAGCAAGACCATACGGGAACTCTCATATGATATCATAATGGTATTAGTTCTGAAGAGCTAAGGCCAGAACGATCGGAATCTTTCTTCTGAAATGTTGGTCTTTATGTGATTATTTGATTATACTGGCAATTCCACTGATATTGCTGCAGACCTCTTTGCATTTACAACAAATTGTTAAGGAATTACCGAATCAGCTGCGTAAACTCTGTTTCCCCAACTTTCTGATTACACGTCCTGCACACACAGGTACCCACATCCACATGGTACACAGGATGATTGGCCAGAAGCAGGGCACTGGGGGCACACAAGGCACTTCCGGATATGACTACTTGCGAACTACCTACAGGTAAGCCTTCATCTGTCACTGATATTCCACAGGAAACGCCAGAAGTACACTCAGTATACATAACAAATCTTTAAAGTGGCGTAAGGCAACACACTTACTATTATGAAAATTGTGTGAGTGGCAGGGCATGCATACCCTTTTCCCGAACACCTCGTGTGATCCAGTCATATAATTCCAGTGGAATCGGATTGTTTTTTCTCTGGCTTTGACGTTATAGTTTTGCATGTGTTTGTGACATCTTTTCGCGAACACTTGGCATCAACCCTATTCAATAGTGATTCATAAACACATGCTCATGATACTGGAAAGGGTTTTGTCGTGTTTTATACAGAATATTATAAAGAAATATGAATGTTATTCTTTACTGTTTTCACTTTTCCCCTACTTCAACCTCAGATGTGATGAAACATTGTGTTAGTAGCATTTAAATGATCCCACAATAACCATGACCTGTTTAAATCTATAAAGGAAATCACCATTGAGCTGTATTGCATTCCACATTTCGTTTCACAAAATGCATCCTCAAATCTCTATTCAGGTGAACAAATTACTTTGTCTTTGCATGTGTTTGTGACGGGTGCCACGGGTGGGAAAGAATACGCTCACCTTTTCTCGAACACATGGTGTCATCACCATTTGATAATGATTCATAAACAAATGCTCTTTTTAGTAGCCATTTCTTATGATTTTGGAAATACATTTGATCGCTTTTTATTCATTACATTTTGTTTTCGTGGTTACAGTGATGATTACAAGGTTTTTCGCGACCTCTTCAAGATGGCAACATACTTACGACCCCGAACGGAAATTCCTGAACTGAAGACAGAGCCGAAGAGTCTCAAAGACAATTGAGTCCATTCTCATATACCATGTGTATTTGATCAAAACTATAACCTAAATATCCTCTCGACAGCCGGGGGGTTGCCGATTGGTTTTTGAAAATTAGGCTCGTATCTGAAATACCCAGATGAATCCCTTGAAATAGGCCAACATGGTCTCTATTATACAGGCACAGATATAATACCCTGAGGATCTCAAAAATGTATTTGGAACTTGATGAAACGTGACGCGTACACGCCGACCAGCTTGAATGTATCGGTGTGGTCTTCTTTTTTCTTCTATCTTTTAATTCTTTGTACCCCAACACCTTGCTTTGTATATATTGAGATTACTACCCAGGGTCTGCTCTTTCCGCAGATACAAGACAGTTAGGGGACATTGGCATTGAAGTGTAAGGGGTCATTGAGAGACAGGTGAAATTCACCGAACATTTAGATGTATAAATGGCTATATAGTCTTAATAATTTTGGTGGTTTTCATTTGTTTTAGTGATACTTGTCGAATGCACATTTCCATGACCTTGCCATATATCTATAACACGTGACCAGCCCCGAATGTATTATGGTCGGAAATTACGTTTGAAGGTTTGAACGTGCAGAGCACATGCTGAAATTGCCAATAACAGTGACATTATATTGACAGTTAAATTAAATTTACTCGCTACTAGTTTCAAAACACATAAGCAGAAACGCAATCATAGAAGCTTTTAATTTACTATAATTATTCATGCTGAGAGTATTCATTTCAACTTTATAAACAGTATTTGTTTTGAGAAGTCAATTTACACTTGAATAAGAACGCAAGTGTTCCCTTAGAGAAAACACACACGCAGGCTCGCGATTATGACATAAATGCATTCACAAATAGAATTATTAGTCAAGAAACTCACATATACACTATTCAGAGACACCACATTACAATTCTTTATAGCTAAAATGGATAGAATTATCATAAAACCGCCCGCATGTTATCAGAAATGAGCGGGCCACTGGTAACTTGATAATGCCCTTATATCGCTTGACGACGGGCCATTATCACGCCCGTTGTTAGGTGACGTCATAGGGATAGGGAAAGGTGACGTCACGTTCAATAGTTGCGTCATCTGGTTTGTTCTATGACGTTTCTATATTCGTAAAAGTGGGTCAGTGAAATTCGTGTTGATTGCACTTAATGTTTCAAAACCGATTTTGTTGATTATTTTCATTTGATAACAAATTCTATCCGTTTTAGCTATAAGAACTGTAACGCAATTTTTCAGGGCATTATCATTTGCAGAAGACCTCGGGCAGTAAATGGAAGAACTCGGGCTTCTACAAGTGATAATGCGTTAAAAAATTGCGTTACCCTTATATTATGTGAGAAAACTTCGGACATTGGGCCGTTTTTACAAAGAGTATATCTTGTTTGTTACACTGCCTATTTTTCGAATAATTCCATATCGATCGATGTTTAATATTTTTTTTTCAATCAATGTTAAAAACCTTATACTGAAGATGTGTATGCTGAAAATAATCTGAATTTTAATGCTTTGGTGAAACACGGCCATGGAACGTTTATGTGTTTGATATTGCTATTGACTTTTGCTGTTTGCTTGTTGATAAATTTTACTTGATTGCATGATAAATACGTCTACAGGTAAATAAAATGTGACATCATTTAGTGTAACATCTTTAAAGCAGATCCCCATGAAGATCCGTGTTAAAATTTGTCTTAATAAACCCATGCTTGTTGTCAGATCGATGCTCATGGTGTCAGTCAGTGGATTGTGCAGACTCTGTTATTTACAGACCGCCGTAATATAGTTGAGATACTGCTGAGTGCGGCGTTAAACAACAAACAAACAAATCTTCAAAAAATGGTTCTACAGCAGAGAGTGCCGGGTCTAGTACTCGATTTGAATGCATAAAACTCAACAGATACATAATCCAAAAGTAGGAATTAAATAGTTGAGTGATGTTGTTTAGAAAGACCGGTTACAGACGTTTTGTTCAATTCATGTGTAAACAGAACATCAATTATGCCGCAGAATGTCAGCTGAATTGGAGGAAAGTCCAAAGTGACGGAGATTACAGCTCACTGTGTTAGACCTAGTGATGACACAACGATATGTGTCAATGTTGTTTATTCGGTTACATTTAACTTTTTGTAAATAATCGAGTCTGGACCAGACAATCCAGTGATTGATGTCATGAACATCGATCAACGCAACTGGGATACGATGACATGCATCAACCAAGTCAGCGAGCCTGACCACCCGATCCCGTAAGTCGCCTCTTACGACAAGCATAATTGCCTGATACGGCAAGCATGGGTTGTGGAAGACCTATTCTACCCCGGATCTTCACGAAATCAGCCTACTCCCCGTAACTGTCGATTTGAATAACGCGTGTTAACCTTTTCGAGGTTGCATTTTTCGAAAACAGATGTACCATTCGAATTCGCCATTGTTCTTTTTACAGATCTCTGCTGTTCGAAAGCGACCATAATATCACGTGGTTGTCTGATTTCGGTTTCATTTATCTTCTTTTCAGTTTGTTGCTGTTTAGGACCTTATATATAGTAATAAAATACTGAAAATTCAATACTTGAAATTGTCGGTGTTTTTGCTAATTGTCCTCGTATTAATTCATAGTTGTATCAGAATTACACTTGCAGCCTTTACATACATACATACATACATACATACATACATACATACATACATACATACATACATACATACATACATACAAACATACATACATACAAACATACAAACATACATACATACATACATACATACATAACTTCACTTTTCGTCACATCAGTTTGTATGATGCACCAGTTGAAGTGATGGTAAACATACAACACAAACATACAACACAACCATAAGAGTACTCTCTCTACCATACAAAAAGTACAAACTCTTAACATTATTATGGTGTTTGTTGTTGTTTAAACTTGTTTGTTGTTTAATAGTTTACTCACACTGCTGCAGCTTTATGATGACGGTCTGTTAAAGGTGAGGTGAGTTGAAATTGGGTTTAACGTCGCGTCCAAGATTATTGCACTTATATAGCGACGTGCATGTACGTGTGTGTGTTTGTATGGCTGCTTGTACTAGTCCGGACTGATGCCGATTTATAGCGCTAGCTCACTGAGATACCATGCGGCAGTTTAACATGAATACCCCACTCCGACAACAGTATACTGACTCCGAGCCTACCAGTCCTTGTTTTAGCCCCTTAATGCCGAGCGCCAGACAGGGTAACAACGGTCTGCTAAATAACCGAGTCTGTACAAAACAAACATGTGTAACTAAATTAAAAGAAACGTTTCACACCGTTGGGGTACAATGACACACAATCAACCACGGGTATCGTACAGTGAATTCCTAATCATTATGGAAAGGGTTTTTTTCACTGGTAGTTTTGGACCGCTGGACACGATGGATGTCCTGAAAAAATCGTTTGGCTGCTCCTTTCAGGAAAAAACACACCCTAATTGTGATACTACATGTGTCCGGTGATTATGATTATTAATAATATTTATGAAATTGATCAAGGCTTAAGTCAGAAAATTTAACATGTACCTAAAAATTCCAATTTCCTTTGTTTTATAAAGCCAAAACATTACTCCAAATAAAAATATCACAAGTAACTCGAGTATATCTAAATCACAGAAGTGTCTATAAAATCTTCACACTTCTCCACTGATCAACAACAGGTTCACCAACAACACTGTTCCATATTTAAGTACACCATGTTCATAGCCTTATTATGAACAGAATTATACTTGAAAGTTTTTAAGTACCCTATAATACAACACCGTATTCAATAATAGATCACACCATAGACTGGAATAAGTTTAATATTGCATACCACTGTATAACTTGTGATTAGTAAAGCAATTGCTCTGCTCGCTGAATACATGCTGACAATCCTGAGTTACAAGTAAACCTAAATAATAATAATAACAATAAAAATAATACATTCTAACTGGATATATCCACGTAACAGCAATAATTCTTCTAACCACCGACGTGCCTCTGAAATGCAATACTTTAGACAATCGTTATCACTTAAAACACACCTGTGACTTCACCATTGTTTGAATATGCATTATTATTCACGAATGGACTGTCAGTTATGTACACTTGTAGCACGGATGCAGCATTTTCCCTTTGATGTCAACCGTACATCAGCTAACAATATTGGCCAAAGGATGGAACCTGCGATAACCTGTTTTAGATATCAATGATCATTTGGCAACGAAAATGTTCCAGGCCACGTGTTTTCACATGATTACGTAACCCTTGTTTCGGATCCAAGATGGTGGTAAGCACTAAATCGTATACACTGTATCTTTGTTAAAACCACAAGGTTCTGAAACTTGCCTGAAGACATACTAGCGGTAATTTTTTAAGGTTGCATCGGAGTTGTGTGGCATCAGAATGTGAATGTGGTATGATACGACAACAAAACGAGCAAATTGTTTAATGACAGAACTTTAATTTTAGGCCTGGAAAAACATCCTATTACACACTGCCATCAACCGCCTGCAGAGAGTTACGATGGTGCTGAGGGTGAGGCAACAGTAGACAAACACTTGTTAATTTTAGCCTATTATGCTGTTTATCCAGGGTTCTGGGTCACAGTAGGTCCAAGTCGCCCTTGCTCCTCTTAAGAGTAGATCGGGATTAGATTCGGGTTAGAATTGATCTTCAGCAACTTATGTTTGCCGTAAGGGGAGACTAACCTGATCGGGTGGTCAGATTCGCTGACTTGGTTGATACATCGAATCGTATCACAGTTGCGTACATGGATGCTCATGATGTTGATCACTGGATAGTCTGTCGTCATATAGCTGAAATATTGCTAAGTGCGGCGTTAAACAACAAACAAACAAACTTAGGTGCCGACAAATGAGGATCGACATTGTGTGACCTGGCTGACTGTGTGTCAACATCATGGATTCCGGGGTAGAATAGGTCTTCAGCAACCCATGCTTGCCGTAAAAGGTGACTATGCTTGTCGTTAAAGGCGATTAACGAGATCGGGTGGTCAGGCTCGCTGACTTGGTTGATGCATGTCATCAATCCCAATTGCGTGGATCGATGATCATGATATCAATCACTGGATTGTCTGGTCCTGACTCGATTATTTACAGACCGCCGTCAAATAGCTGGAACATTGCTGAGTGCGGCGTTAAACAACAAACTAATCAACCAACCACCGTCATGGATAGTTTCCCCTGCTGTCAACCACTGTTACCCTGGCCCAGATAATTCACAGGCCATGATCAGGTTGGATTATTGCTGACTGTGGTGTAAAACTACATTCATTTACTACACGTTTAATATTGACAACATTTGGTGGAGCGGGAGGGAATCTTATTTGAAAACTTACATGTACAGTAAACTGTCTTTGGAGGAGATTACACCTACACATTATTGTCTTGTCAAGGAACATGAATGCACTGATAAGACATATATGTTCTTCATTATGGCTATAGTATATATTCCAGCTGGTTGTGGAGGAAATATATGTTCTTTAGTATGTCAACTGCATCTATTTCACCTGGTTAAGGGACACAACCATTATGGATATTTAGCATGTAGGAGTAAGATTTATTTTGATATATTTATACAGTTCCTGTCTTTTAGTGAGTCGAACAACTTACAAATATTACAAATTCTTTTGATATCAATTTTATTTAGTTGAGGCGAGAAAACTATGAAGAACAAGACTATAAAGAATTGCTTGAATGTATGACATGACCGAAATGTGTGTACAAGTACCATCCATGTATGAACTGCATGAATTAGTCATACTATAAGAATAATATTATTGCATTTTTGTTCCTGTTTAGTATTATATTGATAATCAGTGGTCCCATCAGTAACATCACATGGAGCAAGTGCATCCCGCTTTGTCTCATCGAGCGTGTCGAACAGTTTACCAGATTGAAACAAATGAACTGACAGACAACTGGTCATGTGTGAAGGATTTGTAACAGCAGAATGTGTTGATATAATGTGTTATTCTTATTTTCGCTGGATTTC